CGGACGAAGACGCACGGAGACAGAAGACCGAACGCTCGAGACGTGGTTGTCGTGGATACTCGTGTTGGGCGCGTGCACTATTGGACGAAAGTCATCGGTATTTTTTTAGGTGGTAACAGAGGAAACTCTTTTACCAAACTGTTTGAACCCACTTTTTTGCTAAAAATAAAAATAGGGAGTTATTTTACAAAAACTCCTAGAGATGCTCTAATATTTGAAAGCATTAGAGCAACTCCAACAGAGTTGGTAAAAATAGATGTCTAAACTTATGATTTAGCCAACCTCTAAAATAGAAACCCAGCAAAAAAACAAAAAACTCTAACAGCCTTTCCAATAGGGTGAGACGAATGGCTAGCGGCACATGCAAGCTATATCTAGCATGCGAGAACTCCAGTATACATGACCTGCTATTTTAGAAAGCTAGATACAATAATTGTTGAACTCTCTCTTTTATCCCAAAATACTTAAATATAGATTACACCACATGGATAGCCCTTTTGTTGGAGTTGCTCTTAGTACTCTACCTGGTACCTACTGTCCAAACTTTGTTTCTTTCAAAATACAAACACTCATGCATACTTATTCTATGAATCACGTAGACATATCCAACCTTTATGAGTACCTCCAATATCTTGAAATTGATGAAGTCGCTGCAGATACCTCGTTGTTCACGAGCATGTCGTCTATCATTAAAAGAACAACATCGTCCTTAAATCATGGAATAAATCCAAAAAATATTATCACTATTCTTTGACAACAGTATCAAAGATTTTTTTTTGTTTTAATGCATATGGTGATTGTGATAAATATTTTCACATTAAATTATATGACCTAATCCGCAAAGATTATTTGATAATCACAACAGAAACTATTATGTTTAAACTCTAATTGCTGCGAGGCGTGCATTGTTCAAAAATGTCTAAGCTAATACCCTACCATTACTAACATATATATTGTGAACTACACTAAGCAATTGGCAAAGGTACCACTGGCTAAGTGGCTAGCTACATTTGTACAGGGAACATTTCATTAACATTTTTAAGAGAATATTACGCGTAGCAGCAGTTGGTCACGCAGCATCAGTAAATATATTGTTCTTACATTGCTCTGATTCCACCTTTTTACAATGACCTTCCCCCTTTCTATGGAATTGCTGTGAAACTTTTTGACCTTATTCTTGCATTCAGGGTCCTTAATTTCGAATCTGTCATTAGATTAATGTTACTTTCCCATTCAGGATCCCTTTGAGTGCTCAAAGATTACATCTTTTTGGTTTTGCTCTACCCCCCGTGTAAGAGCTTGCTAATTGGGTAAAGGGTTGCGGTGGGCTACTGCCCTACATTTCTTACTAGGGTCAACAATAGCATCCAAGTGTGCACTTTCTGATGTTCATGCCATGTGTTCTGTTTATGATTGATTTATCCACGAAAGCAAGGCCATCATTTGATTCTTGGGCCTTCACTTCTTGTATAAGTAATTCAAATAACATATACATATAATGCAACACCTCACATGATTCCCTTTTGCTTCCTCCTCCACTGGAGAAAGTGGTAGGATTGGTGCTCCTAATTCTAAATGTTTTAGTTAATTGTAAATCATTTTTTTGCGCGCTACTGATCATTATAAAATTAATATGCGTTGCACTAACACAACTGCATGTCACATTCTGTCCCCAGTTCTCATCATCATGGAGCTATATAAGGCTACTAGTCTACCTGAAAGATTAGCGCGTTATCAGCCAACATCAACTATCGCGCGGCGTTGCCTGAAAAAAGGCTCAGGATAGCAGCTGCAGAAGGCGGCATTTTACCTATATTCTGCCGTAGATTAGTAGCATTTTCAGCGTGAGCATTTACAAAAAGCTGATGAACTGGAGCATCAAAACAAGAATTCAAGAACGAAGCAGTACTGATTGCACGCAACCGAAATCATGGCTGGTTAACAAAGATTATCTGCGCAAAGCACCCCTGTTACCGGCCGACAAAGAATCGGCAGCCACACTCCCCGGCTCTAGGGAGATGAGGGAAAGGAAGAGAGCTGAGATAGCCTTGGCCAAAGCTAGAAATTCCAAAGAGGCAGCAGCGAGAGAAAGAATGAAAGATGCAGTCCGCTGCTGCTTCCTCTAAAATACTGACCAGAGTGGCCGAGTGGGGGAATTAGTGCGCCCTTAATTATAGGGTTCTCTTCGTCCTAGCTCAATTCTAACCCCTTTTGCCAATTCCTACCCTACGTGTCGATGACTTGAAAAAAACATCTCCCCTTGGAAACTTACTTGCCAGCCGAAAGAAACTGCCCTGTAATGGCCTTCATGTGATGCTAGAGTTTCAGAATGTCTTGTGCTAGAAAAAAGGTCAGTAGGTGAATTATAGCAGTAGGGAGACAGTCGACGACAGACCTCCTCCCAAGTGACAAGACGCATCAGTCACTCTCATGATGTAATTATTATCCTAGCAACTGATCACATGAACCCCACTGTCACACATGCAAAAGCATGTCAATCATAGACATGTTAACTGCACCAAGAGTTTGAATTGAGTTCCTGCATGTTAATGCTGAATCTCGTCATCGTCACATGCCGTATATATGCCGATGCGGGTGAGTTTGGCTGGGACTTATTTTACCTTACCTTTTTGACTGACAGTAAGGAACGAATGACCGTCGAAATTAACCTCCTCCTTTGACAGTCAGAAAATGACAGTTTTGTCATCATTGGAATGCAACTGTGAGAGATCGAAGCAGTTTAGCTAGCCTTCTGCTAAGTGCAAGAGCCATTAACATAATTGGCCTCTTTAGTACGTCTACCCCTGAAAGCGTGTATGCATGGAGAGGCTCCTCTGTTGCTCTTCTGAACTCTAATCATTGTGAGTCGACGCAAAAACACGCTTGTAGAGTTGTAGTTCTTATTCTCGTTTGACTCATCTTTACGGTATCCTGTCCTTGATCGGTGTACTGGATGGATGATCGTGCCCGTTGCAATCGCCCAAAAAGTTTTTCCCCCAATTTCTTCTATCTCTTGGATACTTGGATGGATGATTCCCGAGATCACGCTTGAGAAAATATACTCCAGATATTGGCAAGGATTGGAACTGAATTCTTTCGCTCTTCCGTTGGGTGCCTGCCTGCCCTTGTCTTCCTCTTCCCTGCCTGAATGTCCCTTTACATTTCTCTGTCCTGCTACATCTGGAGGCGCAATTGATAGCTGCTTTAAGTTATTCCCTGACGATAAAATTTTTCTGTGATGCCTTCGGGTGGTCAAAAGCTTGCGGCACTGCTACTACTAGTAGGGATTAATTGCATTTTCAGCTCTCTCAAGGAATCGAATTTTTCCTTGCGGGGCAATCGGTTTGTGATAACTTTCACCCTTTCAGCTTATCTTGACTGAAAAATCTGAGACGAATTTCTTTTCCTTTCTTTCTTTTTTTTCTATTTGTGTATGCTTCCTTATACCATATAGGGACATATAGGAAAGAATAAAAATGCTAGAATCAGGGGGAGTCATGCTCAAGCAAGCAAGGCGTATTTCCGTACTACCGACTATCTGTATTTCAACCGATAAGGCATGCTAGTACTGCCGACAAGGTTAAGAAACCAAGATATTGTTTCAAGAAAAAGAAAAAGGAAACACCATTGAATTTATAATAAAGATCTAAAGCAATTGATTAAAACCAAGAGTTCATGTAATAAGATTAATAAATAATAAAAATAGCAATTTGATTTTCATACGAGTTAAAAAAGATAGCTAAGTAAAGTGTCCACGTAAAACACAGTTAGTAGACAATTTGAATCTATATCTATATATATAATGATATTAATCACATGTGTCCATCCCTGACTCTCGTCTGGACACGGCCCCCGGACTTGCGCAAGACTGGCCCTTCTCTCTCAAAAACAAAAACAAAAATCCCCACTCTGCTCGTCTGCCCGCTCCCTTCCCCCACCGTGCGCCCGTCTCCTAGCATGCCGTCCCCTTCCCCCCACCGCGCAGCAGCCTATCACCAGCCGCTTCGTGCTCCATCCCCGCGAGCGGACGGCGCTACACGACTGCGGCCGAGCGAGCAACAGCGCTGCAGTAGCAACAACGGCCATTGAAGTGTGGTGTGCCGTGTGCGCGGGCAAGCCAATGGGATCGAACATCCCCGAGACGAGACGGCCATTGAAGTGATTGAAGAGGCTGAACCCCTCCAAAAGCCGGGCGGGAAGGTTGGTTGCGCATCACGGACGCCTCGCCCGCGTTCACGACGCCGGGACAGCGATCTCCACCCCCGGCCCGGCCCCTTTGACTGACCGCCTCCATTGCATTGCAATTGCAATGCCACCTGCCATCCATCTCCCGCAACACGCCAACACCGGGAGAAGTCGTAGCCCCCACGGGTGTGGTGTGGTTAGGGAGGTAGGCTAGACAAGTGAGCAAACTGCCATGACATGACTTGTCATATCCTGTCACTGACGGATCATATGACACGCTCCATTTTCAAGTCTTAAACAAGTGCGGTGCCAGCAGACAGGCACAACGAAAACAACGACCTGCAAATTGGGCGCGAGAAAGACGAGCAAAAAAACTTGTCACGGGAGCTTATATTAGCTCTTGCACTTGTAGGATGCAAAGCAGCACTGGTACTGAGGTTAATCCTCGGGCTAGTTCAAGCAGCTGCTTTGTGGAAGTCACACGGATCTCACGGAGTACAAGCTGTTGTCAGTGTCACATGATATTAGAGACGGCGGGAAGATGTTTCAAACTTTTTTTTTGTTGCTTCATGATGTTTCTGGCTAAAAGTTTACAAGGCAATCAATCATACACAAGGGAAGGTCAACGACGCCGACCAGACCTCTTCACCACACCGCACTGCTCCGCGCACCGGCGCCCCGATCGAGCGGAACGGAGCCTGAGTGCTCGCGCGTGCACCGGACCCCACCGGCCACCAACGCCACGTCGAGTTCGCTCCATCGCCCCTGGCGCGCTACTCGGCTAGTGACTGGTGACTGGCCTGCAGGAGATCAGCCTACCAGGCCAGGTTCACCGGCAGCATGTCGCCGAGGGTCGCCCAGAGCTCGTCCTCGTAGTCGACGCCGACCTGCCGCTGCCGCTGCGCCTCGTCAGCCGCGGCGGCCGCGGCACCGGACGCCCGCCACCACCACTCGCCATTGTCGCCGGCGCTGCTGAATGCTGAGATGGCGCCGTTGCTGCCGCCACCGCCGGCGCCGTTCAGCCTGTTGCTGTAGTGGGCGTCGTAGCAGCTGCCCGCGCTGTAGGTGTTGCCGTTGCTGCTGAGCTCGTTGTGGCTGCAGCCGTACTCGTAGCTGTTGTCGGACGCCTCGCGCTCATCGGCCTCCGCGTCGGTCTCGCCGTTCCTCGCGAACCGGCCCTTCACCCGCGGGCGGCTGTCGGCCAGCGTCTTCCTGCAGGCGTACTGCGGGGGGCAGAGCGTGACCGAACGTTAGCTGACACGAATGTATGTCTGGAGAGTGGAGAGAGAGAGTGCGACGACAGAGGAAATTGAATCATTTGCAGGGGAGGGAGATGCGAGCAAGCGATTACAGTGATCTTCTTGTTGAAGTTTCTCTGGTGGCGTTTGACACGGTAGCGCTCGATCCGCTCTTTCCTCTCCTCGGCGCTGTACCGGCCGACCTTCTGTGAGAACGGCCCGTCTCCCTCCTGGCCGCAGCCGTCGCCCGACGGCACCGGGCGCGGCGGCGACGACCCGTTCATGCCCTGTTCATTGCCAGCACATCAGCAGAGTTTCAGTTATTTATTTATTTATTGCCTTGGAATGGATGCAGCTCTGAATTGTTGAGATGCACGATGGAGGCGGTACCTGGAGATCGCCGGTGCTGAAGACGCGGCGGACGGGGCACGACGAGGTGAACTCAAAGAATTCGCCGGAGGAGGACGGGGAGGACGAGAGCGGCGGCAGCGTCGTCAGCTGGTGCGTGGACGGCGAAGACGGCGAGTAGAAGCCGCTGCCGCCGCCGACGCCGCCGAGGGACACGTCGGCCAGCTGCAGGTGCATCGGGAGCGAGTGCGAGCTGATGCTCCTCTGGATGCTGTTGTAGTTGTAGTACGACGACGGGAGCGAGGAGGAGTAGCAGGACGACGGCGGCGACGAGAAGGCGCCAACATTGCCGCCGCCGTCGAGGTACCCGCCGGCCCGGGGGATCTGCGCCGGGACGGTGACGGACAGCGCGGCGTGGTGGTGCATGAGGGCGTCGCTGTAGGAGGACGGGGAGGAGGAGGAGGATTGGCGGAACATGGCTTTTGGACGTGGAAAAGCCTCGGGACTTTGCGCCGACTGTGGTTTGGGTTTGGGCTTTGGGGGGAGTTTGAGAGGGAAGGGGTGCGCATATAAGAAGCGGGGAGGCTTGCCGTGCTGCATTCTGCATTTCTGCTGCTGCTAGTGCAGGGCGCTGTGCGCTGAAAGGTGGCGGGGTCACCCCTATAACACCAAAAAAATCTTATCGCGGCAGTATAATTGTACTGCTCCTGGGAATGTGTCTGTGCAGTCAGATCAAGCTTCAATAGTTGAACATTGTACCATTTGAATTTTGAAGGTAGGAGGAACTTTGATTGATGGATAGGATAGATACGCGAAATATATGTCTCAGGGCATAATTATGTGTGAAGCACCGTCGAGTGATTTGAGCCATCCGATCCCTTGTACTAACATGAAACGCTATACGTATACTAACGCAACCGAAAGAAGCAGGATAGCATTTACCTATCTTGTAGCAACTCACGTCGAAGATGCAGAGCCGCCGATGCAGAATCCAACGGGTGAGGGAGGCGGTTGGACATGATAAGAGAGTATTATATTTTTGTTCCAAAAATATGGCGAGCGAGCAGTTTTACCCTTGGTCAAACTCCAGTGGACCGTGACGCCTAAGAGTAGGATAAATTAGGTAATTTATAATTCTAACTCTAAACTCTGACCTTTTTTTTTATCTTTAGCAAAACTTATGTAAAAGATGAACTATTTAAATGTGCAACTATGATTTTGCTAGTATGTTGTTATCTCTACCGCAAAAGGGGTAATACAAACACTGTAAATGCGAAAACCAAAGAGCAAGGTAGAGATATGCAAACTCCCGTCGACGGCTCCGGTATTTTTACCGAGGTATCGAGAAGCGCACAAGCTTTCTCCTAGTCTTCGTTGGAGCCCCTCGCAAGGAATCCTTCGCAAAGGGCCAAGCTCCCGGTCGGGTAACTCCATGGATAGCCCCGGGCCTTCCCCACGCGCAAGTGGGTCTCCGATATGCCTTCCGGCAAGGCTCTTCCTGACCACTCCCCGCGGTCTTCACTATCAAGCTTCCGGCCACACCACAAACGCGGTTGGTGTAATCTCACAAAACTACAAGCCCCTCCGATGTACAACAATGGTGCGCGCAAGCACTGAGTGGTAAGAGGTATGCAAACATCACTGAACACTAGACCTAAACCTAGAGCAAGCACATAAGAGGTGGTCTAATCAACCTAAGCACTTCGTAAAGCACCTACGCTAATCACCTAATGAATCACTAAGCACTATGCAAGTGGAGATCACTAAAATAGTGTGTCAACACCCTTGGTATGTTTCCTCTGCTCCACGCTACTCAAATGGGCGGTTGGGGGGTCTATTTATAAGCCCCACTGAGAAAGTAGCTGTTGGGGACGAAATCCCGCTTTTCTGCTACTGACCGGACACTGCTTTTGTCCTGACCGGACGTGTCCGATCGCAACTTCGCCGCTCTAGAACCTCTATGTACTCGATCGGACGCTGCAGTTCCTGCATCCGGTCGATTAGCCGCCAGCGTCCGGTCAGTGCTGAGTGTGTTGCTAGGATGATGAACAGTGCCATCGGTGCGTCCAGTCACTTTCAGTCCTCAGCATCCGGTCGCTGCTACTGACGCCTGCTGTTGCCGAGCCTCTTGATCGGAGCGTCCGGTCGCTATGCCGCCAGCGTCCGGTCACCTCTGTGAGCTCTTTTCTTTACGATCTTACGTCCGGCATGGTTCCTATCTTCGTGCTTAGACTATGCTCGATATCTTAGGTCTTCTCTTGTGCTTCTAGGGTCTTAGTTAAGGTGTTGATCATCGGATCATCACGTCGCCTTCGTCCAAGTCACGTCTTGCACCCTATTGAACTACAAAACAATAACTTACAAATTTATTAGTCCAATTTAGTTATATTGATCATCAAACACCAAAATCCAAAGTAAATGAGCGTCAGGGTCTATTTTCCTTACACAAAATCTGTAACTTAATTTTCACGCTGCGTTAACAAAGAAGTTCACACATCCATTACAATTAGACCGTTATAAGATTATATATGTAGACTAGTCTGCATGACCGAAGAGCATCAAACGCACAAGTTTACTGCTGAATTATGAGGAATAGGGCAATAGTTCCTCCACAAGTTGTTTTGTCCTTTAATATAGGAAATTAAGGCGCTATTGGAAGGCAGATGCTCTTCCTTCCGAAACAAAAGAGACATATTCTAACCCCTTTGATGGAAAAAAGGTCATTCTGAAGTTAACAATTAGGAGAATGAAAATTAGGTGTCACAAGCTAGCGAATATGCTCCAACTAAGGCCTAAGTATACGTCGATTAACAAACCCAAGGAGCTTGATGCCAGTGTCCCTTTCTATATAAAATAAAACGGGATCAATGAGGTGCGTCTCTGGTTAACTGATCGAAAGATATTTTTGCGTGCGTGAACCTTCTTCTGAAATTAAGTTCGCAGTATTTTGGTTTCCACTGCAGTTAATATAGACAGGATGATCTTTCACCGTCAGATAAGAGAATGCGAGTCAACACCACTTGACAGTCTTTGAGAGCACAGAACTGTTAGACATTGACTTGCACAGCCAACGATGCACTCCTCCCAGTGCTCCTACCTGTGTTGACTTCACTAGCACTTGTAGATCCAGTTACTGTGAATACAGGAGCACAAACCTGAAAATCTGAAATGCAGATTGAAACCAAAGGTGTAGAATACTTACTGTAGTTAGACAAAGACATGCTTCTTTGGACTACAGCCTTCTGTTTCGATTCGGCTAAGCTTAACTCGGAAGCAGCCCGAGCTTTGCAAACAGCCCTTATCTTCATACGCTACAGTAAGGCCCCAACAGTCCTGCAGAACAAAGGTCCATGTAGCCCCATAAGGCCATAAGACGTAGTGCTGGTGTTAGACGAACATGAGATGCTTTACTGAAATATTCCAAGACAGTTTGATATGAAAGATATGCGTCATTGTCAAAGATCTTGTAGGGCTCAATGCTACACATTTTGCATTGGACCAGAAAAAAAAAAGGAGATACCTCACCACTTACCCCTTGTAGCAGAAGAAAACACTGAGCAAACCTGTTTAAGATAAGAGGAATTGTTTCCACATCAGGCAAAACGTGCATGGGGCAGTAGATGGGACTAGAACCAGTCCTCTGTACTTTTTCCCCCATTTTCACAGTATGCAATTGCTAGCATGGAGGAGTACTTCTCTGGTTTAGCTTAATTGCGTTTATTTTCCTGTGATACATTCACAAATTTACTGCTAATTATCTCCCCATAACATGCCTTCTCATTATATTCCAAGTTTTTCTACCATTCATTGGAATTACTAAAATCATGAAATCTTTACATGTTCGGAATTTTGGATATGACACTGCAAAGCACATTATACACTAAGATTCGGCATTTGAGATGATTTCTCCAACAGCACAACTTACTAATTTGACAACTTTTATCCTTTTTGGCTAGCATATTCAATTATTATTGCAAATCACGATGCAGAGTACACCCTATTTTCTTCCTTTAGGTGGCGAATCAGTACAATCGATGCATAAACATTTAAAACTTCTGGATCGTTTATCTCTGACACATAAGATGGACTGTCTGAATGATTGTTATACACATCAAAATCTGATGACAGTTAAGCTTGTATCAAAAACTTTTCAAATGTATAACAGGTGAACTTACCAAACTCATCTCAACCAGGCTTATATTTCTTAGCCTCAGCCATCTCTTTCTTCCTTACTTTCTCAATGAAACGGGAAAACCTGCAAAATTTTGTTAAATAAGAAAGTAATGGAAGAAAGACACATGCAGTGCCATTCCTGTTGCAGAAGGAACATGACTTCTTTTACAGATGTCAATGGAAACAGACAACGCACCCAAGCTAAGTTTGGATCAGACATCAACCAAACATGACAAAGCTTTCACACACTTATCTCTAACATTGCAACTTTATCGATGCCCTGCATGCAGAATGACATTGTCACCTGAAAGCAAGATCGATGATCAAATCATGAAGCTTCGCCAAAATCCTGCCAGAAAAGGTCACCGGATAATGATGAATGTCACCATCAGAAACGACAAGAATATGTGAAGCTTCAAACTAACAGCTCTGAGTGTTGTTTGGAAGAGTATATTGACATTTGATTTGACTAAATGCATAACCTATTTCTCATTTACCAACATATATTTTACACCTAGCCGAGGTGTGTCATTCATCCATGATAATTAATTACCTAAAAGAACCTGAAAATGGAAAAATAAGTCACTGATAGCAACATTTGATTGACAAGCTTGTACAATGCACCACAAGACCAAACTTTCTCAAAGATGGTCAGCTTGCAAATAGTTGCACCACTACTTTTTCTAGTGGGTAGGCAAATAACAAACTGATGTTACGATTTAACAACTCAAGTTTAACTGAACGCATTACAACACTATCCCACCCAAAAGTCACAGCAGTGGCATGAATGAGTTGGTTACATGATCCTTACCGGTTTAAAACCTACAAAGACTAAACATTCAATCAAAACTAACATGTTTACAGAGAACCCTCATATCGAACAAAAGAAAAAATTAGCCGACACTCTACCCGGTCTTATCTAAAATGCCCTGGCCTCATGTCAGAAACTGGCTTTGGCATCGCAGGCATACATGAAAATAACGATGCTTTTTTCGGCTTAGAACCAAATAAGAAAGTTCGTAGAGGTACCCCGCCCTTCACTGATAGAGATATGAAGTTCTTCTGTGCTCGGTTGCTTCTCCCAATGGATAGTTCAATATTGTCTCTGAGCTTCAAAACAGTCCTCCCAATTTCCACTTGGAGGCCCCTTACATGGTCAAGCCCAGCCTGTAGCTCTTTGGTGACCTTGTTATTCTCTTGCTTCATATTACTTACCTCACCTTGGAACTTTGCAGCCTGGAAAGGAGTAAAGTGAGCTTCATCGGTTCGATCCAATGCTGTGACCTTAGATATCTCCTCTTGTATGCTACACAGCAATGAAAATCTACTCTCAAGCTCCCCCTGTAACAGCACATTCTTTTCCAACCAAACTTGGAGATCAGTACTCAAGTCACGGAGTTTCTTTTCAAGGGCAGCCGACTCTTGTT